GTGATCCAACTTCATGTTCTTACAGAATTTAGAAAAACATTGGTACATGTCATATCAAAAAAGATCAATAGCATCAGTTTGTGGCAATTGGGGAAGAATTTTGATTTCTGAAAAAGTTATCAAATCCAAACACCATTGAAACAGAGAGCGTGAATTGCATATGTTTTAATAAACGAAGAATTACTAAAAATTGATCAGATAACCCAATACGTATAATTTTGCTTAAGGAGTTTCCAGTGCTTTGAAGCAAGATGTTGCGACGGCAACCTGCTTCGCAAGCAACTTTTTACATCAGTAATTCATTCCAACTGGAGATCTGAACTATTTTTGGCGTTGATTCAATTCGAGACGCGAACTATTTTTGGCGTTGCACTGATAATATTTTGGCATGGAAAACTAAGTCCTAAAAGTACAAGGACCACACTACATCTAACAGAATAATAAACTACAGGAATTCATGCTCCTACATAATTTTTCAGCACTTAAATCACAATAGGTAGGATTGTAAATAAATGTTAATCATATTTATTGATTACTAAATTGCCAAAAATACAAGAAGTTAATTACCTCATTTTTGTAAGAAAGATTCAACTTCTTCATCAGGTACTTTTGGATGAACAAACTGGGAACTTGTTTGTCCTTTGATTTTAAAATTTCAATTTTCAACAGAGGACGTGCGATGGTAAGTAGTGATTGGTCTGATCACATCTTGATTAAACTGCAGAAGGTGGAAGGCAGAGATGTTAAGATCTCACAATAGATGTTACAGAAAAGTACATAAGGAAAAGTGTATTGTATAATATGGAAACAACTACTACTGTGAAAATATTTCCTAATACATTAGCACTTAGTTGTACAACTGTTTATATATATGTGCATTAATAGAATTTTATAGTTATAACAATCCTAGGTGATCTGAAAGAGACGGAGGATACACAACTAAAGCAGACTAATTACCCTGAAATGGGTCATCTCCATCGAAAGGCATAAATAAAAATTACATTCCAATGTTAATGGAGAGAATAGATGTGAAACACTAAAGGCATAAACTGAACATGACTTTTCAACCTGCAGTGTTTTTAATTTACGTATCTAATTTTTCTTTTTAACATAAAGTCAAGCTGAAACAAAGCAATAATGAGACATACGGTGTAGATTTAATGACACAAACAAAGCAATAAGCTGTTCAAATTGAAGTTCAAAAAGATTGCTACCTTAACTGTATTTGGTGTTTGTCTGTTTTTGGACTAAAACACCTGTATTTGGTCTTTCTCTGTTTTTGGACTAAAACATAGTATTGAAACAAAAGAAGATGGATATACTTATTTCAGAGACTAAAGTTCAGTTCATACCAAAAAAAAAAAAAACAACTTACTTCATAGACTAAAGTTCAGTTCATACCACAATGAACTATATTCACATGACCTACAAAGGATGAGAGCAAGAAATAGAGAGAAATAACTCTACATGTGCAATATTACTCAATTTAACACAAACACAAAAGATGAAATAAATCCAAGAAACTTAGGAGAAATAACAGAACAGTCTGATGCCCATAATTTCAATATTACAGATCGAGTAGACCCACAACATAGATTCATGGTGATCCGAATTGCCACTATCAATCATGTGACAGAAGTTCACAATGACAATTTGCTGAACCGTCTATGTTCTATTAAAAGGAACGATACCTGTGAAATCAATAAACAAAATCCCAAGAGGAAACCATACCATGTACATAATATTTTACAGAAACAAAAGTATTACGATAGAAATCGGACAACCAAACGATATTTTGGAGTGTTGTTCAACGATATTTTGGAGTGTTGCTCATCAAATAACACAAAATTCAAAATCTGATGCCTTTG